GTTTGTGGCAGTCACTGGATTGTAGATCCGTGTAGCTTATAAAAATTTAAATGATAATTTTTAGCTATTAACAGCCATCGGAGGTGTAGCTGGAGCATACGCCGCATTGCATACACATGCGGTTTTAGCCACGAGTTTTGCCACCAATCGAATACTGGCTTTTACTGCTGGCAGTTTTATCAACATTGGTCTTTGCCAAATATTACCTGATCTGTTGCAGGAAACAGATTCAAGGTTTGTGCATTTCTTTTTTTTTCTCTAAAAACTTCCTGGGATTATTTGAATTTTTTTGATGAAGTTTCTTATTCATCTGAATTATGTGAAGGTTTTGCATCAACAGGGTTTTTTTCAAACTAGAATAAAGGTAAAATTTTTTAACGATTGTAAAACCGTTAAACTCGTTTGGTTAATTAAGAATTATCTTTTTTTTAAGGCAAAGTTTACGTCAATTGTTGCTACTGTTTTGTGGTACGGTAGTTATGGATCTGCTAAATAAGTTCCGGTAAGTCGGAAGATCGTACTCGTTAGGGAGTTGTTTTAAATTGTTCAGTATTCCGGTGCTGTGCCTTTTTTGGTAACCATATGGCTGGACATTAAAATATAGAGATTTTTGTAAGAAATATAAATTGTTAAAAAATTATAGGAATTATCTTCTTTTTGCTAACTAAGGTGTATCAGGGAAAGTTTGTTGATGAAATAAAAAAATTGTTGTTTTGAAGCTGCAAATAATTATATTAATTTTTGAATTATTTTACTGTGTTTGAAATTTTTTACCTGGCTTCTTTTCTTTGCACCTATGTACATATATTTTTGAACTTTTTCAAAGGTTTCTTTTTATTTTACCATGCAAATTAATTTTGCTGTATGGTGTATATTTCTGTGCGTTTTAGTGAAACAATAGGGTATCGAGTATTTATTTTAGTTTACTTCACAATGGTGCATTTCTGGTGTTTATTCATTGTTTTCGCTGGTATTTGTTTCCGTTGATGTTATGAGTATAAAATTACTAGACAACTTACTAGGCTGGTTATTTTTTTTCTTATTTATATTCAAAATGTGAAATACCTCGTGTGACTTGATAGTGCTCTCAGGGTGATAGAATATGTATTGGTTTGTCAGTATTCTTATTTGTAACTTTCTGAGAAGAGTCTTATTCAAATCTGTCAAGGACTTATAGAAATTGTAGACGTGTGCACTATGTTGTCAGGAGACTTCAGTTTCTGTTCTTTAGTTCCAAAGCAAAGCTCGTGTTTTCCATCAAAAGAAATGTCTTACTGGAGATTTGTTGTTAAAAAGATGTCACTAAGGCAGTTCTTTGTGCTTAACTGTTCGTTTGTCTGTCATATTTTAAATGTGTTCTTTTTGTTGATTTACATTTATGATCCCTCTCTTCCTCTGTTCTTCCTCTCCCTTTTCCTCCCCGGAAAAAAAAAAGAAAGAAGAGAATTGTTCAAATGTTTTTTTGCAAGATTTCAATCTTACTATATGTTAGTAGTCGTGTAAATAGTGATAAATAATTTATTGTTTTTAAACATTTTATACATATCAATACGAATTTTTTTAAATGGCAAAACCTATATAGGGAGTACTGCTGAACCGAGTTTTGCACTCGTTATTAAGATATTTGAATCAGTTAAGATTTCATTTTTTTTTACAGCTTTTATCTGTCGCCATGAGTGGTGCAAAACTGTATGAAATTGTTTTTAAGTTTTGGTACTGCTGGTCATTTTGTCTCCCTTTTATTATAACAGCGGAATATCAGATTTTATCAGGCATTATCACGACACTAAATGTCATTGAAAATTACTTTCGTTGCACAGTTCAATTATTTAGCTAAAGACGATTAGATGTCTGGTTGCTGGTTTTTGCGAAACAAAACCTGTATTAACGATGGAAGAAAAGATTTAAAAAGTTATATTCACTGAGAAATCAGGCGGGTGGTATTACATTTAAGAGGCTGGCAAATAAATTTAAGAATAAATATGACATCCAGTTTATATAACACTAAGAAGAGAAGCTGTCAGTGAGCGTTTATTGATCTGCCATATCAGACCAGACCTATGGTGTTTGTATGGGACAGATTACCACTGGAGGACTTTTTGATGGTAAAATAAAGAACAGCACTGATTCACTTGTGATACTAGTTAATATTTAATACCCCTCAAATTAGTCGTTTAGAATCGTTAAATCAATTTTGCTACATCAAAGAATTGTATCGATTAAGACAATAACGTTGTTTCACCAAATAAAAGCAGAAATATAAATTTTTTGACAGACAGTGTCGTGTAAACATCTTAAATGGCATCTGAACTCGTCGGTGACTGTTAAATTCAGATAACCGCGCACACCGGTCATTCTAAGTATTATTTAAGTCGTAGTTTATCATTGGTTATACCAAAAATTACCATTCTATTTCTTTGTCTGGCATCTGATAGTTTAATAGGTAAAGAACTTCTGTGCAGTTGATTAGAATTAGCTTTCTAAACTGTAATTCTTTATTTTTGAACGTATGGATCCTACAACAAATTTGTTATTAACAGCGTTAGCTGCTGCAGGAAGTCAAGTGCTTCAGCACACAGTACAATTTCATACAAACTTAACCCAAAATCGTACAGCCGTGCTCCAAAATCGTTACAGTATTTGTTTTCCTACTAATCGAACTGTATACAACGTCGTTGTGGAACAGATCAATGGAACTTTTATGGATCTTTCTGCGTTTCGTGGGAAATTATTGCTGGTTGTCAACGTAGCTACATATTCAGGTTTGTTCACCGTTTAACTAGCAGAAGTGATTATATTTAGCTGTAAATTGAAAAAAAATTATTTTTTTGAAATAAGTTGTTAAATATTTAAAAACAACTTTTCCAAATGAATATTTGGTTCTCCAAAATATAAAAACTTCTAAACTATTTTTTTTCTAGTGAGCAAAATGTCTATAACTGATAGATATTTAGAGCATACTAATCAATACGTAGATTTCAACACGTTACTGCAAGAATATGGTGGTCATCGGTTGAAAATATTAGCATTTCCATGTAATCAGTTTTACTATGCTGAACCTGGAAACAATAATGAAATTATTGATGGTATAACTCATGTAAGACCGGGAAAAAATTTCACGCTGCACCCAGATATTCATGTGTTTAGTAAGATTGATGTTAACGGCAATGAACAACATGCACTGTATAATTTCTTAGAGGTACATTAGTCTAAATTTACTAAATTTTTTGTCAGAGAAGGACCTTGCAGCTAAGAAATTTAGAAGAATACCAACAAATTTGGAAATACGGCTGTTACACCTCACCCTGTAGTACAGGATAGTCTGTTCCTCTATCTAATCTTTTACCGCTTAGGCGCAATGTCCACAGACAATTAAACAGTTAACACGTCGTGCTGATCTAACATATGATCCGGTAAAAATAACCGATGTTACTGATAATTTTGAAAAATTCTTGCTTGACAAACATGGTCGACCACGTTATCGTTTTCATGCAACATCTTGGCTTAATGGTACCGTTATCCGAAAATATATTGACAAACTATTGGTGGAACCATAGGCATCAAAGTTTAAATCCAGTAAGTTTCTTATTTCTAACTATCTACTTAAGTGCTCATTTCGTTTTTTTTTCTCCCTCTCTCAACAGTAACTCTAGGTGAAAAAGAGAAATGATCGATTGGCTTTGCTTGTTCAGCACGAAAAAATTGTGCAGCAAAAGATGAAAAAAAAAAAAAAGAAAGAACATTATTAGTGTTATTTTGGGAAAGAATTAGTTGGAGGAAGTGGTGTATTATGAAAACAAACTGGGGTGTAGATGATGATAATGTCGATGATTCATTCTTCTATCTGCTGTGTTTTCTAGTTTTTAGTATTTCTAGTATTTCTAGC